CAAAGAAAAATGGCATGCTCTCACTCTGGATGTTTTTCATCACTTATTCAGACAGAACATGGCCATCCTCTCTCTTGCTAAAGATGAAAGACAGTTTGTCTCTCCATCAGAAGCTGTTTTCCCCTGCAATGGCCCAACAAGCACCAACATATTGTCTGCCATTAAAAGGGCTTTAGTGTCATGTGGAGAAAATCTTGTCACTTTACCAGCTAGTGTTGCAAGGGCCATAAATGAGGTCTACCCAAACCCTACTACCCTAAAACATGTGACTCCAGCATTCCTCAGGGCCATTCTCCACAGGACCGGTGTGGATAACATCACCAAAGACGACAAACTTAGTCTTTTGGAGTACATTTTAGGTGATGAACAATACAAAGAACTTGAGGGTCTTCACCTCCTTCCACTCAGTGATGGCTCTTTCAGATATTTCACATACAAAGAGGAAGACACCGCTTTGATTGACAGCCATGAATGTCCAAGGTAGGGTACATACATACATACATGTATCAATATTTAAAATAAATGTTATATTCATTATGACTAATGTTGCCATTTTTATGTGTTATTCACATATTGATTGTAACTGAATATTTGGAAGGTTCAGGAATGTTTCTATACCGAATGAACTTTTAACAGTTTGATCGACAGAATCCATTGCACTTTTTTATAGAGTCTTGCTGCCATTCTGTAAACCCTTCTTCATCCCACATGATCTGACACCAGCCTGCAGTGCCCATCTGAAAGAACTGGCCAGAAGAAGTAAGTGAAAGTAATTTTAAACAATGCAGAGTCATTTGTACACAGCTACACATTTTAGCACACACATTTATTCGTAACTTTAAAAAAAGAAAAAATCTTTTTAATCTGCTCTTCAGATTTCTTCAAGGTCACCAACATTGATGTATCCCAGTTGGCTGAATATGCAAGACAATATTTGCCACCAGACTGGAAGCAGACAGGGAAAAACCTTGTTACATGGGACAACAACAACAGTCAGCATCCACCTTCAGACTGGTTCCAAGAATTCTGGAGGTTTCTCAACAGTCATTTTAATGAGTTAAGTCCTTTCACTGACATACCTCTAATACCAGTTAGTCCTCTGTCTGGCAGCCAGACTGTATCAGTAGCAAAACTACAGCAGAACACAACTCTGATCTTTCAGAAAAGTAAACAGCTGAATTTGCCAGACCAAATAGCTCAGCTGGTGAACAAAGTTGGTGGCACAGTGGTGAGAGGAAATGAGTGGCTCAGGCATGTAGACCTTGACTCGTACGTGCTGTCCCCATCTCCAAGGAGTGTTTTGAAGGTCCTGATGAATTTAGATTTCCAGCATCTTGTCACAGAACTCAAATCCGCCTCTCACACAGCACGAGAAGAACTGAAAGACTATCTGTCTTATCTGGATTCTCTCTCAAAAACAGAGAAAGATTTTCTCTTGAAGTTGCCTTTGTTTCAAACCATGAAAGGATTCAGTGTTGCAGCTCAATCAAAACAAGCTGTGCTTCTGATCTCAGGCCTAACATTACCAACAGAGCTCCCTATGCCTGATTCCATAATCCAGTGTTCTACTGAGACTGACCGCAGACTGTTACAGCTGCTCAAAGTTCATCTCTTGGACACCGCCGAAGCAGCCAATGTTCTTGTTGACAGCATAAGGAAAGGCGCTTGCAGCAGTGACAACACTAACAAAACAATGACTTGGATTTTACAGCATGGTAAGGTGCTTTTCTCACAAAACGAATCCCTGAAATGCAGCTGTAAGGACTTGAGCTTCATTGAGGTGAATGGACAGCTGAAAAAGGCATCTGACTTTTTTGATCCAAGAATTCAGACTTTTAAAGTCATCTTTGAGTCAGACTTCTTTCCACCGCCTTCATACACTCATTCACTGCAGATGCTGGAAAGCTTAACAGAAATCGGATTACTGAATAAAGAGATGGATGTCTCACCTGAACATTTGCTACATGCTGCCACCCTGACTGACAAACTGTGTGTGAACTCACAAACCAAGGATCTAAGAAGAGCTCAGGTTCTGTTGGAAATGGTGGAAAGTAATGGTTTACTGTCAAGGTTTTCTCACAGACAACTTCATTGCCTCAAAATGTTAAAATGGATCCCATGTGAACAACCTGGAACTGACCAAAATTTCAGTGATAA